GAAATGCGATGATGTTCAAACTCTCTAGTTGTAATAAGAAAATGTCTTTCATTAACTCTGTTAAACGTTATGGCGAATACAAGCCGTGTTACTGGACAAGAGTATGTATATGTATTTCCATATTCAATCTAGATAACGGGGAGAAATCGATAAGGGTCGATTTCTCGCAGCTTCAATGGAAGAAAATCTCAACTGCTACTTGTCTTTTCAGATATCACATATATATAAATATTCTTGCGATTGTTTAAGTAATTTCATAAGTTAAATAATTGATTAAATATTATCTCAAATATTTAATTTATATTTTATTTTTAATTTATATTATTGATTAAATTATCTCAATTCCTGATAAAAAATTAAGATCGCGTTTGTCATGGTATTATTCTCTCAGTGAGAAATACAAGTCGAAAATATCTATTAAATATCTATAGACGTCTAATAGCCATATTTTCGACCTATCATTTCTCACTAGATAAGCTTTTTTTGATAAAATCGGATATTGATTTGCTTTCTAGCTAAAGAATGATTTCTATGAATAATTCAGCAGTTGTATTTTTTTCCAGAAAAAGAATACTTGTCAAGATGTGTTATATGTTTAGAGATTATAATCGGTACGTGTATTAAGAGATAAAAAAAGGGTGAAAGGAGAAAAGAGGAACAATAAAAGCGACTATGTTTACACGAGGGAGCTATATCGTGCTGTGAATGAAATAGGTATATTTTCAGAAGAATCAAAGAGAAAGGCTAACGAGATAACGCATTTGTAATAACTAATTATTGCAACGAGGAATGTCCATAACGTTATTTTTCTAGAGTAAATATCTAAATATCTAAATAGTTTTTTGCGTTGTATGCATTATATGGCAAAACATATTCTCAAGCGACAAGCAGGCCTAAACGCGACTTTTTACGACGATAGATAACTAATGCGTGTACGAGTAAATTTTTCGCAATGGAAGCATACGCATATTGTTGTTCATTTCGTGCACACGAAATACGTACTGTGTGTCACGTTATTATTAAAGTTATATCGCGCGAATTATACGACATGTTTTCCACAAATCGCGAATGACTTTTACGAACAATTTGTATTGGAACTTCATGTTGCGAATATTCGAAGCGTTTGCACTTAACATTTAAGCAGTTGCGCATTTTATGTATATTAAATATAATTACAGTCTTGTTTTTACTACAATTACAGACAATGAATTTATTTTATTTAGAATATTAGAAATTTATTTTACAATCGTACACGTAGTACAATCAAATCGAAATTTTTTTCGATTTGATTGTACTACGTGTATGCTATTGCTACAATATGATTAATAAATAAGATAAATATAACTTGTTGCGACTGTTTAAATGTTGATATGTGTATTTCTGCACAATATTACAAGCATATTGCCGCGCATATTAACTCGCTAACGTTTAATCGCCATTTTGCATTTGTATTATTAAGGAGTTAATTTATTAATTCTTAATGAAAAAAAATGAACTATCTGTAGAAATTATGGATTCGGTGTGTATTAAGAAGGTAGAGTGAGAAAATATTAAATATCTATTACTGTGCACAATAATAGATATTACATAATAGTTTTGAAAGATATATAAATGCATCCAATACATATGATGATAAATTTTAAATAATATATATAATTGTCTTAATTTATAACTTTTCCTTGCAATAATTTAATGATTAGGAAATTTATATTCGATAGAAATATTTTATAATGATAAATTAATGGCGAATAATATTCAAATAAAAAATATATATATATCTTACGTGAATACACTCGATGATTTTTAAAATTTTAAATTTGTTTCAATAATCAAAATTTAATAAAAAAAAACTGAATATTGTAGTAAGCTAAAATAGTTAAGCGATGAAGACTGACTGTCGGAGCTCATTCAAAAAATACGAATTATACGAGTATAATCAAAGGAATAATGTTATAAAAAATGAAATGTATACACACAAGAAAAAAGAATGCGATAGCGATATTTTAATACCATCACAAAATTGAGATTCTGACGAACAAAATTATTCTAAATAGATAGAATAATAGTGCGAACAAATTCGTTTTATCATTTTCATTCAACGAACATGAACAAGAGTTCAATTATTTTTTTAATCCGTTTCTTAACTGCGAGGTCATGATTTTTCACATGGATACTCCGTACTCGCATTTCATCTTAAAGAGTCAGAAAAAAAGTTAGGACAGGGATTCAGAAAAGAGTACCGTGTGTCTGTTTGTGCGTGTATGTGTGTGTTATGTGATGTTAAACGTACGCGACCATGTTACGTGTAACGTTATATATTATATTAAAATATGACATATATATATAAAAAAGTGGTGGACACTGTGTACTGGTGAAATGCAATATATGTATCGAGTTACCCCTATAAATACAGCCATTTTATAATAGACACTCGTTCTTGTAATTACATCTTTTGCAATCCTTGATGTTATTAATTCTTGTGGCTTTCCTAGTATTTATTATTATATTTTTGTGATAGGAATATTTCTTGTTTTTCTTGACTCTACCTTTCCCTAATTAATTTTTTATAGTTTTTTCGTCTATATGAATAATATTTAAACAATCAAACAAAAATATTTTTTAAATTTAGAATTAACTTACGTTCTTTGGAATAATACAATTTTATGCACTCTATACACTCTTCTATTCTAAATCAATTCTAAACTGAAGTTCTTTACTTTCGTTGTTCTCATTATCCATTACCAGGTTTTCACATAGGATAGGAAATCAACTGATCATTTTTATATAGAATGTAAGTCTTCTTTTAAAGTATTGAGAAACAAATATGTTGAAAGCAAGATTTTTAATACCAATATATTTTATTCTAGAAAAAAATTAGGTAAGAAAAAATCTACCTATTAAATTGACAAAAAGAATATATTTGAATTGTACATGCATATGAAATATTTTATTCAAAATGGCACAACATATAGTATATCTATAATTTTCAAAATTTTTCTTTATGAAATTTCTTTATGAAATTTCTTTCGTTATATAATATAGTGTTAGTGCAATGTATATTATTTTTGAATTTTAATGTATTTTGCAATGAAATATAATGAAATATAATGAAATATATTTAATATTTTCATTATATATACTCTTTTCTTTGTATGTCTCTACTGGTTTCTCATTATCAATTTTTTCTATATCTTAATTAAGACAATGCAGGATTCCAGTTTCAATTCTTAAATTTATATCGGATACAGATAGAATGGAAAAATGAATATTAGTTTTGTTCTCAACATTTTCAGTTTGTGCTTTATCTCGCAAAAGCTTTTGCATTTCCCTCCGTCTGTAGGAAAAATATAAAAAATATTAAAATATAAATAGATTTTTAAACACAATGGAAACAAATATATGTTGTAATTTTACATAGTTTTTGAGAGAAAGATCAATACTTTTTTAGTTTTTTATTTTAAGAAATTGAAAATTATGTGTATTAATTTTTATAATAATTACTTTGAGTTTGTATTATTTTTTAATTTGTATTTTGCAGATGTGTCATTATATATGTACAGACAAATTTTGTATTTACTACGGATTTTAAAAGATAAAAATGTTCATATGTATAATTCATTATTAGATCGCAAAGTAATTTTGCTTAAATTACAGACTTTTTTACTCATCCTTTTTTTGTAGATCTTTGGGGAGCATATAGGGAAAAATGTTTATAGTTATATTTTCGTATTATTATTATTTCTTATTATTTGTCTCAGATATATATTCATTGAAGAAAATAATTTTCTATACAAGTAATGCAATATAGACTGCGGTCAAGACTGCAATATGAATGCTCCGAAACATCATTCTATCTTTATTCTCATGGAATGTAGAACAAAGATAGAATGATGTTTCAAAGCATCCAGAGCGTATTCCCGGCCACAGCCATAATAAATTCACTCGCAACAATAAAAGAACGCTTGCACCATAGATATAGGCTGCGTTCGTTTTGACAGTTTTAGCGCTGAAAGATCACTATCTTCGTTTGATGTTCGATGTGCAATAAAGACAGAATGATGTTCACAGCGCGTAAGCGTACAAAGCGAACGCAGCCATAGATATTTAAGGTTAAAGTTAAATCGACAATCAGCTGATCCGAGGTTTGAAGTTTGACAGAAATGTAGAAAAAGAACAAAATTAAAATCTCTTTTTTGTCTTTTTTTCCCCTCTCTTTACTTTTATCGAGATATGAATTGAATTTAAATAAGTATACAGTAATTTATATCGATATCAATAAATTAAAACAATTCGATTTATTAAAGACAGCAAAAACTAACCTTTTCACCTGTCTTTTTTAAAAGAAAGTCTACGATAAGAAAACGACAGAATTGTTTTATTTATAATTGTTTTGTGACAAAACGTATGTACGCAAAATGACATTGTATTATATTATGAGTATTTGTTTTTTTTCCTTTTTTCTCCTTTTCAAGATACATAAATTTCTAGAATCAGCAACCTTTGATACTTTATTATTAATTAGTAATGCGTTACATTGAGTCTATTGTTCTTAGATATAATGCTGATAATAAATAGACGTAAGATTTATGACTTACAAATTCTTTATTAACAGACAAAACAATATTATCATTCATACAAATAATGCATTCTAGAAGTATCTTACGAGGGCACATTGAAATTTCAATTCAAATATCTATTTTGATCATGTGACAAAGTACTCTTTCTTTTCTTTCTCTTGTATACTTCAGCCAAAAACAATTGTCCCAACAATAATATGTACCACACATACATAATTATCTATTTTCATGTATACATTCTCAAATACATTTACACCTCAATTTATTATCAAATATAATTGCATATTATAATATTAATATTATGCTAAATTCTAAAATAATGTAATTCTTACACCATCTATATTATTATACAATATTATATATTAATATAATAATGATATTTATTATTAATATTCAATATCTGACATATATATAATTTTTTGTATGAATAATATTGATTGTGTAAGAGCTACTGAATATAAGGGATACGGAGTAAATTAAACTTTTTTACATACAAAAACATATTTCAGATTTATATCGAAATTGTATAAATCAACAATAACGACATTAAATTACATGGTTGCTTCATAATAATAATATACATACAAAAATCTGATACATAATTATTGACACTGGTAGATATAAAATTTGACATTTTACTGTCATTACAAAAAACTATTTTCGGCAACTCACATTTACAAAAGAATTAAAATATCAAAAGCAAAAGAATATTTTACTTTTTTTTGCCATTTCTTTTTATGCCGACAATAAATTGCACCAATGTATGAGGATTTTCTTATATGTATTATGTCATATTTCTTGGATATGAAAATTATATAAGCAGCTAACAAACAATTTTAAATAATGTCGTCTTATTAAATAACAAGTGAATAAATCAAAAATCACGATCCCGCTAAAAATATGGAAGGGATACAAGTTAGAGAAGAAAAAACGGATTCATCGAGATTTTAGAAGACTCATGTTACAAATATATTATGAAATATATTATGAAACATGTATATTGAATTGGAAAGTCGCTATGTGACTCACTTTATCCAATTTATTAGTAACTGTATATAAATTAATTACGAAAATCTCACTGCATCACACTACACTCCAATCTCATTACAGTTCATCCTTAACTATTGTATACCTATTTTTGCTTGGCGCCAGTTTCTTGAATGCAGACTCTGGTGGTGTTGTGGGCGTTTTCACTTGTTTTCCAGTAACTTGTGGTATATCATTACTAGTGATCTCAGGACCGTAATGAAATTCACGATGAAGTTTGCCAGAATATAAGTCTTGAAGAAATGCTTTAAGTTTTCCTTCCACATATATGTCATTGAAATCTTTGAACAGGTACATATGTCTAAAGCTATCTATTGCAATCAATGGTAGATCTGCTGTGCTTTTTCCTAAATGATGCAGTGGGTGTGCAAATTTCAGGCCATCAGCGGTTAAGAAATTAACATTTTCTGAAAAGAAAAAAGGAAAATGAAGACTGCGATTAAAAAAGCTTTGTAATTAATAATAACAGTAAATAAGAAGACATACGTTTCTCGCTTATTAATGTTCTAGTTACAATATCTTTGTACAGCTTGACACTTTCTATGTCATCGGGAGCATGGAATAGTATAAGGAATGGCAGCCCTTCTTCTGTTAGTTCTTCCGCATTTTCGAACGTTATTTCTCTTACAAGCGGAACACACTTTTCTTGTGCCCATACATTTAATTCATCATAATTAGTCAAACTTCCTCTATAAGTTTCATCTTCATCATTGGATAGGGCTTTATCGGATCGGAAGACAATAATAGGCTCTCCTGGAGGATGCAGTGCATTACTCGCATTCCTAAATATTATTGTAAAATTAATAGACATTTATTTAGCAACAATATTATTTTACTTGCACAATTGATCTTTGAAAAAAATTAGGATTTAATTATTCAATTTACATAAATTAAGTAAATTGAATAAAGTAATTCTTAAAATAGAACAATAAAAAAAAGCCACATTTATTATTTAATATGAGAAATTATGTAGAATACTGTAGAATACTGTAGAAATACTGTAGAAATACTGTAGGATATATTAACATCTTAGTAAAATATAAAAAGATATATAAACAACATTATACAAAATACAAAAGATAAAATATATATCACAAAATCTCATCAATATTTTCACAACAAATGTCCATAACCTCACATGTACTACTTTACTTACAGCAAATGAAAGTGCTGTCCAATTTCACAGTTTTGATTGGAGCATGTGCTTGTCAAATGAGAGTATATTATAATAATTAATATGATACATTTATACACGATATTTTAGACTATCAATAGAGAATTTTTACATCCATATTAACTTTAAGTAAAAATATTTACATCATAAATAACAATTTATATAATGTGATACAGCTCTCTTCTATATTATTTTTTTCTCTATATATTAATAAATATATATCTTACCCAAAACCAACATGGAATTGGCAATCATCCTTCAAATTAGTGGCAACCTTTCTGAATAATTCATATTCTGGTATATCTTTTCTGTCAAAATATCCAATAATCATACGCTTTTTATCATCAAGTTCATTAAGTTCTCTTAAATCAAAAAATTCTCTAATGGGATCTTCCAGTTGCTTCCTGACAAATTCTTGGAATGCTTCGATTGATCGTTGACCCCTGTACTCTCTTTTGGTTGGTTGACCATTTCTTATTACTTTTAATGTTGGGTATTTGCTTATATGAAACCTAGATGCTACAGATGCTGAAACATAATATAACTTGTAATATTTCAACTTAAAAAAATAGCTAAAGATAAATTTTAATATACAGATGTATTATATCTGTATTTAATATACAAATTAATATTAAGCCTTTTCTTATCCATAATTATATAAATTGTTATATCTTTTCTCAAAATACTTTAAACATACTTTCTTGGTCACAATCCACTTTAGCCATTACTACTCTTCCTGGTTCTCGAAATTCTGCTCTAATCTTGTCTGCAGCTTTATCAAAAATTGGAGCTAGTAAGTTGCTAAAGCGACACCATTGTGCATAGAAATTTATAAATACAAGTTCATTCTCAGCTGTGGAAAAAAATTCGTATAGTTAAAACAAAAATAAATGCAATATATTGGGCTATGTTTAGTAACATCATTTGACACTAATTGTACATTATATATGTACATGTATTTTCTTACCTAATGTTGCATCAATATTATTATAGGTAAGCGAAACTGCTCCTTCTCCTATTTCTTCCGCTATATTGTTTGGCAAATGTATCTAGAAATATAAAAATATTAAATATATATTGTATGTTTGCTTTTATTATGAAATTTAACTTTAAGTCCAATAATGGACTATCCATTATTGGAAAAAAATCCATTGCTTATCAGTTAATACATATAATAGATATGATATGAGACATTTATTCCAAATCACTAAATCTTCCTACTATTGGATACAAATGATCAAATAATAAATGATGAACATAGTGTAACAACAAATAATCATCCAAATGAAAATGGCGAACATGATGATGAGATATAATATTGTAATAGACATTTTATTAACTCACGAAAATAATACACAGGATTTGATTTAACACTTTCCAATGAATTATACGACAGACATGATATTTTATTTTTGTCAGTGTAAATTTTTTTACATTTTGACAATCGAAGAACAGGTTACAATAATAATAACGACTATAGATATAGGTTATGGAACGTGAAAATGTTGAGAGAGAAACGGCGATAACAGGATCAAAGGCATTTTAAACAAAGAGTAACGGCAATCAAGGGACGAGTAGGAAATTATCAGTCGCAAATACATGTCACGGGGAAAAATCTTTGCACACCGCTCGCGATTCATAAAAGGAAACTCGAAATGACGTGGCAAGCGCGTGAGCGCTTCAACTTACTCACCAGGAGACACGCGAGTATAAGTACTTTGAAATGAAAAATATCACAGCGGGTCAGCATCCTGCGATTCTCGCGAAAACGACGGTTAAACGACGAGCTTTTGAATCACCATCAGTAAACGGCTGCTTATGTGTCAACTGTGGGCTACGAGCTTAGCGGCATATCGGAGAATCGAGTGTCGGAGAGACGTCGGAATCGGAGTCTACCCTCGAGACAATCGATTGTCAGCGCCGCTAACGTTTTCCAAATGCCAAGCCCGATTTTACGGAAATAGCCGGAATTTTTTATGCGTGCGTGCGTGCGTGTGCGTTTATGCTATCTCGTTGATAGTCTGATACTTCGATTTAAGTAATTGTCTCGTCACTTAGACGTCAGACTGTATCAAAATGAGTCATTGTCTACATTCCTCATCTTTACACTTGTATCCACAATTAATTACGACTTGACGAGCTCGTTTCGCATATATATAGAGATGTTTTAATCAATTCTTTCATATGTATACGATATGCAATACATTATTCGATAATGTAATATATTATTTAAATATATTTCTTTTCGATATATTTCTAAGAATCACGCGACGTAATATGTATTACGCAATAAAATTTAATTGCGTTTTCTCCTAACATTTATAAGTATTTATATGATATTCATAAAAACATGCAAAAAAAATCACATGTGTGTAGTAAAATATAATTAAAATAAAATATAAATCATTTAATAATAAAATAATAAAAAATAATATATGCATGAAAAATTAAAATAATATATAAACATTTGCTATTATGTTATAGTTCGATTTAAATATTTCAGTAGATTATTAGAGATTTTATTTTATATACCTCTTTGTGATAAATCCAATTAAACAACAAATAAATACATAATAGCCTTTTTCATATATTTTATTACAAAATATTAAACATATATAAGGTATTATGTATATTTAATCAAGTTTTGCTTAAAGTTTAAGAGATTTCATTTTTTAAAATAACTTGCTCCATATAGTTGATTAAAAAAGACAAAAAATATACGATACAAACTAATGAAAAATTTGAAAGAAAGAAAGTCTTAGAAAACGAATATTGACGGTATTTATATCTTTCAATATAGAATATATTGCATTACTAAAATAAGAAATAGGTGAAATTCAAATGTGCAATAAAAATTTGTATTTGTTGTCAATATAAGTAAATCTGTTTAAATGATCTTTGATAAATAGATTTTATTTCTTTTAAAGTTTATAAAAATATTTACATTTGTACCCCTGAAGTTAATGCTATCAAATCACAACAACGAGTTTCGATTATAGAGTTTTGTTGATTAAGCGCAAAAAAAGATGGTCCTGGATATGATATTATTGAGCCACCCAAACATTCCTCTCCAGAATATAAAACAGCATACTGAAATTCATATAAATTGATCTACATATTAATTTAGCAATAATGGAAGGCATATAACAGTATATATCACATTTTAGTTTCTTAAAATCAAGCATAGTAATAAATATAATTATCTTGATAATTTGGAGAAAAAAAGATAGAAAGAGAGGATAGAGAGATACAATTAAATTTCTCTATCCTAAGAAAACGGATATTTCTCTTTAAACTCTCTTTTTAAAATCGCTTTTTTTGCACATAATTACATGATTATGTTAGTGCAATTTTTCATTTTATGCATGTACTATTAAAATAAAAGAGTAGAGATCAAAAATTTTTTAAAATAAAGAAACTATTTGTTTAAATTTATAAAATAGAGGAGATCGACTGTACATATTTTATCGTTATATAAATTACCTGTCCTTTTGTAATTGCTCGTAAAGGTACGCTAAGGCGGATAAATAGACGATTGTCGGATATTTTGTACACATTACAAGTGATTAATGGATTCCTATGTTGGAAGCGAAAGTCACAACTCAACACACCACTATGTCTTAATTCATGTGGCTCCTCACTGATCCAATGAACATCCTGTGTTATCAGAAAATCAGTATATAATGCTGGATGGATTCCACTGTCCACCTGTATTGTAAAAATTAAAATATATATGATTAAAAAGTTTTAATTTATCTCTAATCAAAATCCTGAGTTTTTATTTATTATATTGTATATTACCGCTATAATGGTATTTGTTTTCTGATCCTTGCTAAACACATAATAAGCATTCTCGCAACCACCGATTCTACATCTTTGTCCTATTGTCAATTTATGAATGCCATTGTGTTTGCCTATCGACAGTCCACTGTCTAGGTCTACGTATTCACCAGGTTTATCATCTATATACTGTAGCCATTACTAAATTATTATTAAATCTGATTAGAGTTGATGTGCAATATATACGCTGCATGATAACAAACATATCCTCTTTTACCTCTGAAATAAAATCTTGAAACTCACGTTTACCAACAAAGCAAATACCCATGCTCTCCTTTTTCTGTGCTATCTTATGCAAACTTGCTTCTTTAGCTATCGTTTTTACATGATTTTTCAAATAATTTCCAAGAGGAAACATGCAACGTCTCAAAGTTTGTTGCGGTATTTGATTTAAAAAAAATGTTTGATCTTTATTACTGTCATATGCTTGTAATAAGTGTACATCTGTGAAATTATTACAATTGCATTAAGAAATATTTGATTAGAAAAAAAGTTTTTTTAATATAAAATACTTGCTAGTGTTTTCTTTAAAGTTTTCCAAATAAGGTCCAAAGCTTGTATTAGCATAATGGCCTGTCGCAATTGCATCTGCTTGAAATCTATTACGTGCAACATCAAAAAATTTATTAAACTTGATGTTCTTGTTGCACAAAATATCTGGATTGGGAGTATATCCAGTCTGATACTTTTCTAAAAGATCACTAGAAAAATGGAACAAATAAAGTTTATGTTATCTGCATTAATTGTCGTAAGAAAAAAAAATGTAAATACCTAAAGACTTCGTTCCAATATTCCTTTACAAAATCAAGCTGTATCAAAGGAATCTTTAATTTATCGCAAATCCACCGAGCATCCTCGTAATCCTTCTCAACTGTACAATTTCCTGTTTCATCTCTAATGTCCCAGTTCTTCATAAATACTCCAGTGACATTAAATCCTTGAAAAGATGTACTTTTTGATATCTAATATATGTAAGAGAGAGAGAGAGAATAAAATTATAAATTAATTATATTTACCTTTATTTTTAAGTAGAAGGGCCGTCACGGCGCTATCAACACCACCTGATATACCCACCGCAACGTTTCTAATCATTTTCATGGAATAATTTGTCACGATTTGCGTTGCATATTATTATGCAACTTTGCTAGTATTGATCTCCAATTTTTTTATGACATTGATGCCTCTTTCCTGGTCAAGATTGATTATTCTTATTTCATAAATATTCACGTAAAATTTTCCCAAGTCTTTTATCAGTCTGCAGGAATGATGCAATTCGAAATGAAATACCTATTTATTAGAATTTCCGGCAGGACCGAGTTGACTCGTTAGATTTTGTCCAGAAACGAATATCTTGGTTACTTGCGAACGAGCCATGCGGGCGGCTCGCAGATCGACTCGCATACGTCATGTGTTAAGATTAGGCGCATAAATAAAGAAAAGAAAACAATAGGGACATTAAATCTTATTCTGCATTGTTCTATATTCTCAATTTTTCCAATTCTCCTCTCGAGAACAAATTACAAAATATTTCAAAAGGCTCATTCGGACGATGATGTCGCTCCCCTCTCTCTCTCTATCTCTTTCTCGCCATATTGCTATGAATTCAAGACTCACGCGCGCGAGGCCCGCCGGCCAATCCACGCGCGGCTCTCTCGGTTGGCGGTCAGTCAAGCTCGTTGACGGACGAGCGCGGAAGCACGTAGTGCACCCGATACGTCGCGTCTGCGACGGACAGCCGTGTCCAGGATCGCCGGGTCGGCGACGCTTCGCCCGGCGAGCAGCGTCGATGCCGTCGTGACGATGGGCCATTTTGCGCAGTACCCGTGACCCAGATTACAATGGGGGGTTCGCTCGTCTCTCGGAACAGCTGTTGGCTCCGAGACGTCGCGAGCCGCCGAACGGGATGAGGGGGAGAGCGTGCGTAGTAATATATACGCGGGCTGCGCGCGTCTCTCGGCGGCCTGACGCAACAATGGCGGCTCAGGGCCGCGCGATCGGTATCCGCCCTCGTACTTTTCATCGTTAAAAAAGAAACTAAAACGCGCTCGAGAATAGCCGACACGAGTCACTCGGGGCGCAACGTTTCACTCGTCCCGTCAAAAGTATCGATGCGTACTTTTGCAGGGAAACGGTATCGAGCCAAGTACGCGCACGTACGATACGACGGAAAGAACCCAGGAAGTCGTGACTCAAACTCCACTCGCTCGCGACTCCGAGATTAGAGTCCGATCCGGACAGACGGTAGAGCCCTTACGGCAGTATTACATAAGCGCGCGCGCTCTCTCGATCCATCCGCATTTACGACGCGGATCGACGCCCGATGCCGCTCCCGGAGACGACGGCAGCCTAGCCTCCTCTCCCGGGGGTTCGTCGCGTGCGACGCGACATGCCGCTCGTCGCGCCACGGGCCGCAGCGCCCGCAGCGCGCGACGACAGCGTCATGGGAGGCGCCAAGAGCCGAGAGCCGGCAGCAGCGCCCGAGTGGTTGGCAACAGCGACGCCGCGCCGCTCGCGCCAATACGCTCCTGCGCAGCATCTACCCCCACCCTGTCGCCCCCGCCGCCGCCACCGTCGCTGTCGTCGTCGTCCCGTGTCTCGTCCCGCTTACGCGACCAGTCGGTTCCTTGTTTGCCATCACGCGAAATCCAATAGTTTGCCCTGTACCTGTGACGAGGTAGTGCGGATGCGCGCGCGATTCTCGCGTACATACCTCTGCGTCGACCTGTGCTGCGAGAGCGGTGAAAAAAGCGCGGCGAGGACACCCGTAGGGTGGACCCGGTGCGATGCGTGCTCCGTGCCCGCGCGAAACATGCACATTGTACCTCGCGTTTGTTGTTTATCCGCGCGACGAGATTCCGCCGAGTCTGCCGAGAAGTGATCTCCCGCGCGAGCATACCCGCGGTAGCGGGAGCGCACAGTGAATTTCCACCTACCAGCGACCGGCCCGTTAAGGCTCGCTTCATTTTTTGGTCGCCGATAAAAGACGACGAGCATCGAGAAGGAGAAGAAAGACGCAGACACGTAGAAAAATTGCGCGAGGGGGCAGGAGAGCCCGAGTGTATGTGGAGAAAGAGAACGAGAAAGTAAGAGAGAGAAAGAGAGAAAGCAGGAGAAGGAGAGAGAGACAGTGAGACAGTGTACGAAACAGAGGGAGCGCGAACGCGAACGGAAGAGAAACAGAGAGAGAGAGAGAGAGAGAGAGGTGGCGACGGTGAGCGTATGTGTACGTAAAAGACGGAGAGAGAGAGAGAGAGAGAGAGAGAGAGAGAGAGAGAGAGAGAGAGAGAGAGAGAGAGAGAGAGAGAAAGAGAGCTTTTGTGGTGTAAGGGTCGATTATACGCCGTCGACAGAGGCTCGACCGCGAGGGAAGGAACTGTTACTGGTGATACTCGTTGACCGCGAGGGTGCGCGAGGAGGTGACGGAGGCGAAGCTTCTAGCGGTGGCGGACTGAATGTGACCGCACGCGGCGCGAACGTTCGCTGCGTTACTTGTCGCGCGGGGAACGCGTTATGTATTTACGTAGAACATTGCGTAACGTACAGGGGGCCGGCTAAGTGTGTTTGAAGGAAAAAAAAACGCGGGCGCGCGCGACACAAGACTCCTCGCTCTCTCGTTCGATCCTCGCCGCCGATCTTTCCGCGGCTTCGAGGAGAGAGAGACAGAGACGGACAGAAGGAGAGAGAGAGAGAGAGTGAGAGAGGGACGGACGAGCGCGTCCCCCCGTCCCCTCCCCCCCCGGGACGGGACGGAACGGTACGTGAACGGTGAGTGCGGGCTGTGACTGTACCGGCGCGAGTTTCGCGCGTGCATACGCAGCAGGAATCTCCAAGCAACCCGGCCGCCGCCGACGCGATCGAAGGTTTTCGGGGGAGCCGGATAGAGGAGAGAGAGCTTGACGAGAGACGCCAGTGCACCAGGCTCTCGCGGGACCCGCCGGGGGACGAGTGTCTCGGGAGAGACGCCATCCGCATCCCGGTCGTGCCCGTCTCGTCGCGCTTCCGCGACGAAACTACGTAGGAGATAGGGACACAGGACGTTCTCTCAGATGGAAATTGGTACGAATGGAGTGAGACGGTGAGGGAGAGAGAGAGAGAGAGTGAAAGAGAGACGGGGGATAGTCCGCACGCGGCCACGACGTTCGAAACGCTTGTTCGACGCCAATTTTTTTTCCACGTATGCGCAAGGTCGTGTCGACAACTCTTGCAGCTGGGGGGTCGATCGTGCATCTCTTTCTCGTAGAGCTCTAACGCGAGTTTATAATTTATTTTTGTAACGTGCACCTCTCTCTTTCTCTCTCTTTCTCGAGTGGCCGCTCGCGCGTCTCATTTGTTCTCCGCTTTAACGCGATCAATTTTCGCTTTCGTTTTCGAACACGCGAGTTGTATCGCCGTCTAACGATCTCTTCTTGGACGATATAGCTCCCGAAGTTTCCCATGAATCGTATTTGTTTTCAATTATGAATGAGCCCTGAGAGGCATAAAGTAGTTATTCGAGATACTTGGATATTTTTGAGTGCTAAACGTCAATTTTGTCAGATTATTGCACACTAAAAAAGTTATTGTATATATTAAGCGTTTATAATTTCTAAAATGTCACGTATATATGTATGTATGTATGTGTGTAATATATATATATATATATATATATATATATATATATATCTTATATTCAATGTTTCATAATCATGACTGAGACACTGGAAAAAATGATTCAATCATATGGTGCCATTCAAATTCCCTTTGTTTATATTTGCATATATTTTTAAGTGAACAAACCTGTATGTATAATTGAGAAATATTTTGTACAAGTGTTACGATAGAAATGAAGGAAGTGAAACAGAAAGAAAGGTCTTAAAATTGCATTAACTCAGATTAATTTAGGTTATGTAGAAAGTCTCTGCATTCTCAGCATTCCTTCTAGATCAAAATAATTAAATAATAAAGATCAGATAAATTATTTATTAGATAATTAAAGAATAAAATCACTAATCAAAAAGAAAGAGCTTTTCACTCTACTAAGGTATGTTGGATTTTTGAGACCTTGCATTTTATACAATTTTCACATATTACTTTCTTTCATTTGTATCACAGAATATTCTTTAATTGCACATAAATTAATTTACTTAGAAATATATAAATAAACTAAAAAAAAAAGGATTGTTTCTCGGGTGACTCCATATGATTTCAAATATTTCAAATGCCATAATTATGAAATATATTAGATATAAGATATATAAGACACATATGACATGTTTATTTTTCAAGTGTGTGTTTTAGAAATTATAAGCAATAAGTGATAAAAATAAACCTTTTGATCTGTGAACAATAATCTGTTCGAAATTACTATTGATAGTATTCAAAAATATAGGTATCTTGCTATTTTATGTTAATGATATTTATTCAGAATTATTTTATTATATAGATATAAATATATTTTGTAGGATATACAAAATGTAGATTTATATTTTAAGTATCTATATAGTTTAGATATCTTTTATAAATTTATTTTATAGGAAATAAATGTAACTTTAAGTTTTCAATAATATATATTTAAGACATAGCATATCACAAAATTATTAGTTTCAAGCATATGAAAATCTTGTTAAAATTGATAAATATAAATCAAACATAAAAACATTAGCATGTATCATGTATCAAAAATAATAATAAATATATAACGTTCATATAATACTATTTTCATAAGAAAAATTATGTTTAATTCTACTAGTGAGACAAAAAAACACAATATGTGTGTTTTTAGTACATAAATATTGTTGCCATTAATTCACATATTATTTTGCAATTTTTTATTTATGTATTTATAGATAACTTTTAAACAGAAAATTTACTATTGCACATATAAATCAAACTTTAAAATAAATTGTGTTTAATAAATACATTTTTCATTAAAAATGCATGTCTCAATATTTCATAATAATTTGCACATCAGATACAGTGAAAATAAAGAAGATTGATTTATTAGTATTGTCTTTATTTTTAGCACTTCCAATGTGATTTGCAATGAAACGTATTCGTGGATTAGACGACGTAGCATCACCACCAGCAAGGCACTCAACGGTGAGTGCGGGAAGCGGCTTAGGTGGTGGAGGAGGTAGCTTAGAATATCATACAAGCAGTGGGATAGGTGTTGTTGTACCTGGTCAAGCAGTTAGATCTGTTGCTTCGAAAGAAATGCCAGGAAGTATACAATTTGGTACTGCCCAAGCTCAACAGCAATATACCGGTGCAATTGTTGTGCCAACGGCAGCACCATCCCCCATCAAAGTAAGTGACTATAACAACTGTGTATATAACAATAAAGAGTAGATAAAGTATTGTAATAAATACTATACATAAATGTTATATTTAGCAGACGAGTGGTTCTGCGGGAGGACTTAGTTCTACATGTAGCAGTAGCAACATAAATACTAGTGGTGGTTTGAATAGCGGACTAAGTACTGGCAATAGTCATACCATGACTTCCCAACAACCTACATCAGGATCGCAAAATCAAGTACATACGCAACAACAATCGACAATAAGGCATAAGGTTTGCATTTCCAAGTTTTTCTTAAAATGAATAGAAAAAATAGAAATCTTTATTAAATATTAGGAGGTTATTATAAGAAAATTATAAAGAAAAAATAATTGTAATTGTAATTATATAGACGCATACTGGTAATGTAACACCACTGGCTTCCACTCCACCTGGGTCCAATCAAGGAGGAGGAGGAGGAGGATCTCAATTCCAGAGATTAAAAGTGGAAGATGCATTATCTTACCTAGATCAAGTTAAATATAAATTCAGTGATCAACCACAGGTGAATAACTAAAAATTTGTTGCATATTTAATGCATTAGTTAATAAAAAAGAAAATGCTAGTAAACTAGTATGCTTTTCTCATCATTAAATTATTATGCTTTTACATATCATTTTTCAGTTGATTTGATTTTTCTAGCTGCTAGCTTTTTAGTATACTTTTAAACAAATGTGATAGTTGCAAAAAGTATTTTGTGAATCATGTTCAAAAATAAATATATTTAATGTGCATTATTTTAATATAAATATTTTTATTTATAGGTGTACAATGATTTTTTGGATATTATGAAGGAATTTAAATCTCAAAGTATAGATACTCCGGGCGTTATAACCCGAGTGAGTCATCTATTTAAAGGACATCCCGAACTTATTGTTGGTTTCAACACATTTCTCCCACCAGGCTATAAAATAGAGGTACAAGCAAACGAACAAGGATATGCCTT